ATCATCTTGTTTATGTGCATTTTGGTTACGAGAAAAATAAGCAGGATACATATTATTGTGAATTAAGTAAAACGATTCAAGTATCTACAGCAATAAAGAGGAAACGCGAGGATTCAACGAGTTCCATAGGTACTGTTGAAAAACCAAAAAAAGTAAAACTCGAACCGACACAAGATCCTGTAAAAGGGCAGTCGACTGCCCCCAATGGGTTACCCGTGCAACTTGCACAACCTCTACAGGCTCCGGCATCAAATAAGAAAGATCAGATAACAGCTACCCAAAATTCTCCTGTACAGCAGCATCCAAGTAGTCAACCACCTGTTGTCAATACGGCGACACCAGCGCATGTACCTATGTCACAGACGCCTGCTGTTATGAATGCTACATTACCAAATACCAATGCTCTACAGAGTTCGCCGAATGCGCTTGCTCATATTCAGCAACCTGTTAAAACCGCTAATCAGGTTGCTTCGAGCATTGTTGCTACAATGCAGGTGCAACCTTCTGCTACTTCTACTACAGCAATATCTCAGTCGCCTTTATTTATCCAGCAACAATCTATACCAGGTTCTATAGCTCGCCCTCAACAGAATATGCCAGGAGTCAAATATCCTCCTAATTCCATGACGCAATTTAATATGCAGTTGGCTGCAATGACACCAGAACAACGTAAACATTTTATAGCTAATCTTAAAAATCAACCACCATTTCGAAATGCACAATTTTTTAGAAATACGTTAGCTACTAATGCACAGCAGCAATTAATTCGACAAAATACTATACTCCAGCATGAGTTGGCTGCAAGTCAACAAAATCTTGCGAATGTATTTAGACGTCAGATGCTTCAATTTAATAATGGAACACAAGTAAATATTGGCCAACAACAAATTGGAGGAAATTTTGCAACTTCAGCTACTATAAATGAAGCAGCAAGTTCACAATCTCTCAATGGTACCGAAGCATCATCAGCCGCAACTACTGCACAACAGCTTAGTGCGTTTAACTCGTTGACATCTCCTATGAGCATTTCCACCAACTCTCAATCTGTTGGTTATACTACCGCGTCAACATCCATTGGTGCGCAATTCGGAGGACAAATGCCTACAAGTTCGATAGGCACAGTGAATGCTGCTACAATCGGCGCACAATTGCCCGCGTCTACCATGATGAGCTCTACTTCCACTGCTAGTATGAATAATAGTGTTATAGGACAAAGTACTAAGACGTCCGTTGGAGTTGCAACTTCAATTAATGGTAACCTAATTC